CAAGCTTACTTTAATCAGTTTTGATAACCATTAAAAACTATACACGATTGTATAAACTTATTCAAGTTCTAATAGTTTTCATTTTGCCTTTTGTTATAAAAAATACATTCAAAGAGTGTTGAAAAGGATTAAACTAAACGCCATCACATCCAGAAACACACAAAAAGCAGTCAACAACCTTACAACTAAAAAAATTCAGCCCATTCAAGAAACCGGAAACTAAACAACTTAATGAATGTGTCTTTTCTACAAAATCTCAGTCATGTAGAACCAAAAGAAAACACACAATGTCCACCAGATAGTTATTAAAAAGAATATGCTGCACAATCAGACCAAGATATTGTAAACCCTATCATATATCTGTTGCAGGTATCAGGTTGACCTGGTACACAATCATCCAAGCATATAATGAGAATATCATTCATTCTCTCCCCATGAGATCATGAACGTTTAAGCATGACACCTCATTCAGTAACGCTCATGGGGAGGTGTCTCTTGTTCATACTGCTTATTAATCATGTTCCTTACAGGTAGAACATTTCTTCTCATAAAAACTTTGAATATGCCACTGCTCCAGGTGAAGCAGTTAAATCTTCACATGCATGCATGTATACAATTCATTCTTCTAATACAACACTAGTCTGTCATACAGACCCTGAAGCAAATATATCCAAGACTAGTTGTTAGTCTAATACAACACCAACGTTGCAGACATTTTTAGTTCAGCTGATTTATTATAAAATCGTTCCTGTTCTCTCAGGATGAAATATTCACATTTTCAAATTACATGATACAGTAGTAAAAATACTACACTTTAAACCAAAAGAAGACCATCCTCCAGCTTAAGAAATATTAGTGTGACATCTTATGATAAGTAAAGTGTTTAAAAAGTAGGTATTACTGGTCTGCAGTATGTTTTAAAGTCTGTGAAAAATGTCTGTGATGTAACTATTAATGTATAACATATTTGTGCATGAAGATAAATTAAATTGTGGTTTATCTAAAATTCTAAATGGTAAATCAAGTAGACTAACATATCGTCTATGAAATATATTATTAAATAGTTCAAAATTCTAAAATGTTGTTTTTCTTATACGTATTGAATATAAAAAGCGGAATAGAGCTGTCTTGATTTACTTTTATATAATCTGGATGGTTTTTAAATTTATTTTATAATTCAAATATTTCAATCATGAAGCAGGGCTAGTAGTTTATAAGTAAAATCAAATTTTAGTAAATAACCAACCACATCACAGTAAAGACACAAAACTTGGCTTCAAACAGTACACTGGGAAAGGTCGATCTCTTCAAGTCAATAAGGTAATAATTAATAATTTAAATGATAATTTCTTAAACATATAAATAAAAGACTGGCATCCCTGTGTAAAATGTCCTAATGAGAACCTAGATATTGTTTCCAAAATTTTACATTTTTAAGAGTATTTTTACATAAAATATCTTAACAGGAACAGACAATACAAAACAACAAACTGGACAGTTTTATGAATTTGGATTTCATTTTCCATCTCTGAACAATCATTATAATAACCAGAGCTGTTTGCAAGGACTTGCAAAACGAAAAGCAGCTAATTCATGACCATTCCTGAAAACTTCCAACACCATAATCTTAACATTTACCATGTAGCTTAATTCTCCAGAACCTACTGTTGTTACCCAAGACTCATACTTGACCAAGTAAAAGTACAGCAGTTATGTTATATAGTAACATCTAAGATGACCTTGACCTTTAATAAATATGAAATTTGGTAGGATTTGCAAGATCCATAAAAATATAAAGTGAAGCAATAGCCATGCTTCAGAATCTGACAACACATAACCAGGTTTCAAAATAACCTTAAAAGCTGACCTTGACCTTTGACTTACTTTGATGCATTAACATTTTTTTTAAACTGTAACCACAATCATCTGGGATGGATTTTTTTTATCTCCACCTTTCCATTAGGCTACTAATAAAATCTTCATGTGCACTCCTTACCAAGTAAGTGTGTTAAGATGAGTCAAATATCTAAGATCTTTTTTGTTATCCAATCTGCACATTACATTGGAGGAATGATGAAGAGCTTCAAACTGTGCCATCAAAGCAGCACAAGCCATGGGGATGGACGGCAACATTCTTGTGGTAAAACAAATGGTTTAACACCTACACCACAAACTGCTTTGAATGAAATGCTCCAGTACCACAAAAGCAAATACCACATAATGAGTTTCCAAAACATGCTGACATATGTATAACTAGCCTGGCCATGCTAAAAGCATGCTATAACGCATGCCCAGTCCTTTCACGCCTATATCACCAAGTACTGCACAGTTCAACTGTAATGCTCCACAGAACCAGCATATATACTCCATAACACAGTTTCTACTGTATGAAACAAGTAGGAATATCTTGGGAGGCCACATTCTTGCCACAACAACCAAAACCTCTGCTGATGTTAGGAGCTTGGGACTAGCTGTGGAATGCACCAGATGGATAATATTACATTGTAAGCTCTCCGCAACACTTATGTTGCACCTTTCATAGAAATAAACCAATACTGAATAGCTGGAACTGTTTACATGCTGGGTTCTGTGTTAAATATATACCAATGGAATGCTGGCTGTTGTATATCCATGAAATATATGGTTGCATATAGTTGTACTTGCTTATGAATGGTTGCAATTATTACCAGAACGTTCAATGGAAATATCTAATATTGTAGTTGTCAAATTTGTTAAGAAATTACATTTTAAAATTTTATGATAGACATACAATTTCAAATTGTGCAACATAATAACTTGCAGTATATTCATAGCAGTTTTATGAAAACTGACTTCTAAAAAATTATTAACTGAAAATTGAGGAAGATTATTTCTGTTACTGAACCTAAAGACAAATTACAAAACTTTTTTTTTCATTAAAGGTAACAATTTGAAATAGGTGACATAAGTATGGTATAAAATAGTTATAAGTGTGATAAATATATATATAGTGGCACAAATATTATGTTGATATATCAATAAATTCAACAGACATTAGCATAAAAAGAAGAATATAACTGATTAACGTGACTTCTTTGATGGGCATTTTAATTGCCATAAAAATTGTCATCAGTCTTCAACTGATTAACACCTTTAACTAATCTTTGATAAAACCTTCCTTGGCTACTATGGTGACATAGACTACAATGTATTTCATTAATGTCAAAGTAAATGTTGAAATCTCTCATGAAATATCAGAAACCTAAAGGTCAAGCAAGCCCAATGAACTTTCCATGTCTGATGTGAATAAAATAAAAAACACCCTGGTGTTAGCTTAGTTGTAATACGAGATTGTGATGAAAGAGAGCTTCTGTTTTTTCGCCCAGATGCCATTCACACGATGCCATTCTCCTGTGCGAAATCCTTTACCAGCACAACACTGGATGACACCCATGGTCTAGCTCTTCTAAGCTTCAAGCTCACACTGCCAATCCGACGTTTACCTTTGGTCGTGTGACTGCCCACTGTCTCCAACTGCCGTCCTTCATCCCGTAGCATCACGTCATTAAGCTGATTCGCACGTCACTCAACGGAGGTCTAAGCCCTGTGTTTGTTCGAAGGCAATCTGTTGTTGTAAATCTGGAGATCTCCGACCTGCCATGGCCTGATGGTTATTTTCTTCTCATTATACCAATGTTGCTTCAGTTGTCCCTGTTCGTATTGGGGTATAGTTTACCTTGGCAACTGAACGCTAGGTGACAGAGACCAGCGTCTTATACCGTCGCCCATATATCTGGCTTGTCGTGCGTCGAATGCATCGTTGCAAAGTATAGTTCTCTTTTACGACAAGAAGGTCTTGACCGATTTCTTGCTCCAAACACGAAAGTGGCTCTCATCACGTGACTCAACACATGACGTGCACGTGCTATTCCAGTAATAATCAAAAGCAATTACAACGGAGCTAGTACACAAGTAATTACAAGCGATAGCGCACTATCTGTGTAATAACCCAGACTAAGCAAAACGAAATCGGATAGTCGTGGTGTTGAAGGGTCACACTAGCTTATTGTCCAGCACTGGCCTATGTCCGCTAGGGCGGAGGCGCGTATGATAATAGCTCGCCATCCACTGGGGTTACCGTACCATGCTCGGCCAAGTATTGGGGATCGGAGGAGATGGCCCGTCAAGCCTCATTAAAGTATGTATTTCCATCTCAAACATAGGCTTGAATACTAGAAGACGCACAGGTTGCTATCGGTCTCGAAAGCAGACATGGCCTACTCAAGCTGTGCCGGGCAGACGACAAAAAAATGAAATGCGTTTATGAAGTAGGTAGTCTTGAATATATGTCAATTGTCAAAAAGTTTGAATAAAAGTTATGCATATATGAAATCACTCCCCATCACTCCCCCCTTCTCTCAGGAACGCCCTCTTTTCCTCCCTCCCCCCGGAAAATACAGCTGCCCGTGTTATCAGCCCTGCTTCCATCTGCAAGCGGTCACAGGAAGTGGTTAAAATAAAGGAAATTAGATAATTACATCCGTGGTTCAGATACCTCTCACCGTTTTCCCTCAGACGTCGTGGTCTGACCCATATCTAGCAGCCGAACTCCCCCATTAACTTGACGCACTGTGTCAAAACACATTTATCCCATTAAACGGCAGTCCAAGAATTCTCCACTGACAGCCACTCCTGCCATATCACCCAGCTCAGATGTGTCGTACAGAAATAACTTTTTATCATGAAATACGGGTCCAGTCTTGTAAACGTGTACAATCTGCATCGTATCCCATCACTCCACCATTCTTACCCCCAGGGCTCGCGCGTCTAGGATCTCTTGGATTTTGTCCAAAATTCCTCCCATTTTACCGTTTTGCTGGTAGTTTCTGATCCCGACCACCGCGTCTATAGTAAGCCTTCCTCGAGAATCTCCTGTGGTTAGAAGAGTGGAACACGTCCTGGTAACGATGCTGATGCTGCAATAACAAACTGCCGTCATTGTTTTCAAAAACGTTACTCACGAGTAGGTCCTTGGTCCCATCCATCCAACAGGTTGTATCCGTCGAAGTCAGCCCTCTCCCAGCAGATCGCTCCTATCTCCTAGTACAGAAACTCCGTCTGGGGCTGTCTCTCAAACCCCGCTCTCAGCGTAGTTCCCCCTACATCCTGCCTTCTCTGATTAATCGCATAGTCACTTGATCCATTGAATACTAGCTATCACTCTGCCCCTGGCCTAGGCGTACTATCTAACACAACTTGCCTGTGTGCCATTGTTTGCCTTCGGAATTTACTAGTGACAGGCCGATAAACATAAGGCCCGCCCATCTCGGCCTGTGGCTCAATCCTCGCGTCCCATTGGCCGTTTATTGTAAATATTGGCATTGCGAGCATATTTCCCATACCTACGGGGCATTAGGGCTAGAATACTAGTTTATAGACGGACACGGGACTTCCCAGGCTGGTTACAGTTGATACTGTCCTCCTATAAAACCAGAAATGATAGCTTTGTCTTATCTGAAAGCAAAACGAGAGTTGTAAATTCAAGCAGTGTTTTCCTGGCAAGATCGTGTTCAGACCTCGACCAGCCAGCATTGAGGTTATAATACACAGTTAGAGGATAAGCCGTGCCCGCGTGAGTCGAGTCGCCAGCTTTACCCCCTCGGAGGGAAATAGGGTAGATAATACCCATACCCACCCGTTGTTTTATTCGGGCGTGATCATCGTCTGGATGTGTTGACATGCAGTGACTGCTCGAATCTCGCCGACAAAGATTTACAACCTGCTATATCGGTTGTAGCAATGAAAGTTTATGCTAGATATGCAATGTGCTAGTTTAATACGACGACAGAAGTTATGTTGTTTACGTTTTTCGTTTTGTTTTTATTTTTTGGGTGGGGTGGGTAAGGGTTGTTTTGGTTTTTGGTTTTGACTGGGTTTTTGTTCTTTTCAATACACCGATAGTTATTTGATCTAGTTAAATTTGAAGAAATGTTGAGACAGAGGCTATCTGGCTGATTTTGTCAAATAGACTTTTTGAAACACATATGACTGGATTGACAATGTACTTGTGTTTATGCGTTTGGCAGCTACTGGTAAATAAACCTTTTCAGGACACGCCATAAGATAAATATGCTATCTGATGAGATTCACGATGTTTATCAAAATTCTTCTATAATTATACAAACGTCGCTTTGGCAACGCTTGTTTTGCGGCGTCATGCAGATGTTCATGACGTAATACTTACGTCATTGATATATGTCATTTAGACGTTTTTGCCAGTAACAATATATATGGCGATATGTGCATGTTGTTCTCAAATAATTTCCGTTACTGTGACTTTTCATTTTAACTTGTTTATCCGATCCACTGATCCGAGAACGTCCATATGTATTCATTAATAACACAGCTTTGAGTGAAAATGTCAACTTTCTGGATCAATATATAATACAAACATCTTACATGACAAGAAAAAGCAACTGGTCTGTACATAAACACGTATTTCCTAAGTGGTGTTAAATGTCGTCGTCATTGCGTCTATCGGGTTGACGAAAAGAATTATTTCACTTAGGTTATTATAATAATTATTTCACTTAAAAATAACTGACAATTGCGAGTTAAGTTCACCAACCCGACGTTATTACCCGCATCCATGTTGGTCTGATTATATATCATTTAGACGAAGCACATGTGCATTTCTTATCGTAAAGTACAGAGATGTACTGTGGTATGACACAAACTAGTTTACCAAAAGAAATGTCAAACCAGTGACATCTCTATGACTAACCTAAAACTGGACAAATGTTTTCGCTATCATCAGACGCAACCACCACCGAACACTTACATATTCTGAGTAAGTTTTACGCCGCTTTTAGCAATAATCCATCTATATCACGGCGGGGACACCAGAAATGGTTTTCACACACTGAACCCGGGTCTTTGGCGTGACGAGCGAACGCTTTAACCACTAGGCTACCCGACCGCTCCACCAAACCCTTACTGATTATATAGACACAAAGGGATATACAAGGTTAATTTGCAAGTATAATTTCGTTAAAAGAAATAATAATCACCGTTTCTTGAAAATCTAAAAATTTCACCCAGTGCTTCTCCCACCCACCTCCTTTTATTGGAAAGGCGTTTCAGTGCTTGAGAAACCCCCAAAGCAGGAAACTCACCACTAACGCTTCTATAACCGGAATGAGGATGTGTTAACCAGAGTATGCACCAGAACCAGAAACTGTTCTGGCATCGACACTAAATTAGGACTTGTGTTCAGTTCCTGTCTCTGTAGACTTCAAAGGTAAAACAAATTTAAACGAAAGTAAATTCGACCAAATGGTGGTTAAAGCAGTTATAGTTCGCATTATTACGTCTTATGTTTACAATTACCTTCAGAACGCCCCCGATCCTACGTACACTGTATGGGGCCTGGCAAGGGTTTACTCTGGCACTGCTCTGTGAAACCGGCTTTTGAGCCGATTTCTGCTAGTAAGACTGGTGATATTAACTGCACGTGTAAAACTGGTTCTGCGAAAACGATACGGGACCGCATGTTTTTGAACTAACTGACATCAAAGTGAAAATGGTATTTGATTCAGTATAAACACATAATTAACATGGAAATAAAAGTTTCATTCATCTCCGTATATAACATTGACTTAAGAACCATACAAGTCAGCATACGATATATCGGAAGTTTGTTGTTTACGTGTAATTAGCGAGTGGATCCTGGTTTAGAATCGATCCCAAGTACCGATCCCAAGTCGACAAATCGACTAAAATCGAGATCGGTTGGTCTGTCTCTTCTGCCCCACTGAGGGGCGCTAGGATAGCCTAATGGGTAAAGTGTCCGCTCGTCACGTCGAAGACACGGGTTCGATTTCCCACATGGGTACAATGTGTGAAGCCTATTTCTGGTGTCTCCCGCCGTGATATTGATGGAATATTGCTAAAAGCGGCGTAAAAACATACTCACTCACTCGTGCCCCACTGGCATGTATCGATACTCTTGTTATCAACCACTGGTTTCAGTGTTCCAAACCTATTTACAGGCATCGTGATATTGCTAAAAGTCACTCACTCACTCGCGCGCCTTATGTAGTCAAATAAATGTCTGTAGTGAGTTGGGTTTATGCAAAAAGTGGTCACTGCTCGATCTGAAGCTTTGATATGGTAAAATACTGACTTGTATTCCATTCAGTTGTGAATCATCGTATATATCCATTCGCTGACTACGGTAATAAATGTCGTCCGCTTCAAAGCATTTCTCACACAAGTGATTTATTATCATTATTAGCTATGTTAGTATGGGACACAAATACAGAACAGCTTTTGCTGAAGCTGCCAGTCTGATACAATAACCCTAGTTCATGTTGTGGCGTGGACTTCAGATTAAACCCTATTCTCATTCACAGAATTTTCCCATACGCGTAGGGCGATAGGGGTAGCCTAGCGGTTAAAGCGTTCGCTCGTCACGCCGAAAACCCGGGTTCGATTCCCCACATGGGCACAATGAGTGAAGGCCATTTCTGGAGTCCCCCGTCATGATATTGCTGGAATATTGCGGCGTAAAACCATACTCGATCGTTCACTCCCATACGAGTATTTGCTACCTCCTGGAAACTTACATTGCCCATTTGACTTATACCACATGAAACTATCTATATATATGTACAACCGATTACACACAAGGGCAGATTTGTTTGTTAATATACTTGCACGTGTATGCTTGCCCTGGTTCGTACTTGCGTGCGTTAATTGGGTGAAAGTGGGTGAAACGTCACGTTCAAGATTATTGTACTTATATTGCGACGTGCATGCACGTGTGCCAGGCTGCTTGTTGTAGTCTAGACGCATGTTGGTTTTATAGTGCTAGTTAGCCCCACTGAGATACCATGGATACCCCATTCAGACACATTAAACTGACTGCGAACCGACAAGTCCTTGTTCTATATCCTTAACGAGCGCCTGGCTGGGTAACGTCTCTTAACGTCTCTTTGATGCAATCTTTTAACGTCATCTGGTAGACGCTAGTTTGTCTCACAGTCTCTGAAACAAAATAGTTTCCCTTCCACCCAACCGTTTCTGAAATGCATAAGCCCTAAATGAAGCAAATCTAGTTTTTCTCCAGGTTCTCAATCTCCCACCTCACTGGGGCTCCTTTTCAGTTTGCATGGATTTCTTAGTTTCTATCAGAATTATATATATTTAAGGCTAAGCGTTAACATAGTATGTGTTGACAAGGTACCAAACGGTCACTCTTGCGCTTTCCCCAGCGAAGTACAGAAACCTGTACATTTCCGTAGGTGTGGAAATGTGTACGCGAAATGTGTACGCTTCGCATAAAGCATACGATCTGAAAAGTTCAAAATTGCAAATAATTTACGCGACGTTTCGTCTTTTTAACACTTTCAACTGTTTGCCCAATGATGTAAATTAAATGAATTTCTTTACATAGAAACGTAAATGCCATAGACGTTGAATCTCAGTGACATCGCATCTCGTATCGTTCACATGTAAATCGGAGGGTCAAATGACCTTGATGATTGTTTGTCGACGTTCAACGACGGTGTAGGTCGTTAATTACGCTGTCCTTCCCTAATTTGTCTGACCCAGATTCCTATATACAACCGCAGTGAAATGACCAGATTATTGGGACGTTAACAAGATACTTCCTCGCCATACTTCCAACTACACGCCCTGCTGTATTCGGTGCCTATGGATTCAACTCCAAGCCACATTTCCAATTGTAGAGTTAATAACAGTATTTTCTCTATCCGTCTTCGTTTAACCGTTACCACGCTACGCTTTAAAATTAACGTCACCTCGATAGTAGACTAACAACTAGTCTCTGAAATGAACATATTTTACAGAAAAAACAGTTCATAATAAAAAAGATAAAATATAATGAAAAGGAGCCCTGGGACTTTCTTCTTGCCACATATTCTCGACTTGCATGGGCTTTCTTGGATATATTTGTTTCAGGGTCCGTATGACAGACTACCTCGATAGGTGATAGGGGATACAACCGCTATCTTCTCTGTGTTTGTTATTTTTCTTTCTTTGTTGAACATTCCGGTAATGTTCCAAATAAATGACGTGGGTCCATGAATGATCGAGTCTGGGCAAACAAATGACTGATATCATGAGCATCGTCCCATACCTTCACGGAACCATGGCACGCAATTCAGCTAGCCGGACTACCCGATTTATTAGAGGCATAGT